CCATCTCTCTGCTTCTTAACTGAAGATGCATGTGACCAGCCACCCCATGCCACCATGCCTTCCTTGCCGTGATAAGAACCAATGCCCTTCCTTCAAGTTGCTTCTTGTCGGGTATTTGGTCACATCTGTAAGAAAAGTAACTAACATACCTACTGAGGCCCTCTGACTGCAACCCAAACACCATCTGCAGGATGGAGAGGCACCAATCCCACCCCATCCCCTTTGGGCTCCCCCTTGATACCTCTCTCTCCTCCTGTGGCAGCTGGTCCCTGCTCCCTACTGATCTCTGTCCTTTGTGGCTTCTGGAGAAGAGGATAGAGAGCAATGAAATGTAGACCTGACTGCTCAAGAGTGTTTGCCCAATCTGTTTGGGTCCCCACATCCCTCTTTAGAACTGCTGTTCCCTCAACATCTCACATGTGCCTAGAGCGGCTTCTGGGGACCTCAGCTGACCCACTGCCTCAGTTTCCCCTAGTGCCATGTGGGGGTCAAGGCAACATCCCACCCTCCTGACTTTTCTAAGGTCAGGGAGGAAATGGTTCCTGAGATGCCAAGGGGCGGCTGGAAGCCCTGAGCTCCAGGCTCCCAGCCTGGCAACACACGGACCTGGTTCTGATCTGTAACTGTCCTTTCTCTAACTGGACCCACCCTCAGCACGTGAAAGCCACGTTGTATAATCAGCCAGCCAGTGTCATCCTGCTTCAGTCCATGCCTGCCAGGGCTCTAAACACCAGGGAGTTTTCCTAACCCCTCCCGTCCTCCACCATCCAAATTCAAAAGAGAGAAAAGAAAGGTCTTCTTCCATTTTGATGGTGAATGAAAATAAACCAATTGTTAGTTTCTTACCCCAAATCAGATTCACAAATGAACTGGCCCTGGGCTGAATTTGACTGTTAAGGACAAATGTGAAATTGCTTCTTCTGAGGTGTTTTTGGAAATTCACGGACAGTGGACAGAAGACAAGCTGCTGAGCTGTGGTTATTGGCGTGGCGATTCAAGGCGGGAAATGCCTTACATAACTGGGAGCAGGAGACTCCAGCTCCTCCCTGGGCTCTCTCCTGTTCCCAGACTGCTACTCTCTGGGTCTGATCATGTCCGACCATCCACTCACTATTACAGAAGTCACAGCAAATGTTCAGGCCGATTCTTCTAGGCCAGAGTTCAGGGGAGAAGATAGGAAAGACACTACCCACTCTCTCCATAAGTTCTCCACGTGTCTTCTAAGTAACACAGCCAATAAGCAACCAAAATATTCTCTCCAGGGAACTTTCCATTCTAGAATATTCTTTCTGGTATTATACCCACCTCTACCCCACACACACTCACACAGGAAAGAAAGACAGTCAGTCAGTCAGGGTAGGCTAGTTGCTACAATAAACACCCCCAACATCTCAGTGAATTAGCACAATGATAGTTTCACATTCACTCACATTTAATATCTGCTGATCTTGCCACGTTGGATCACGACTACAAAGGGTTTTGTTTGGTTGGGGTTTTCTTATTGTTTGTTATTTTCTAAATTACATTTTTTACTTTCTAAGTCACAGTTCTTTAGGGAACAGGAGTGTGTGCATTTTTATGGAACCGAGAGGTTCTTCTTCAGTTTGGAACATAAAGAACAGAGATCCCAGAGTGCACTGTGTGAACCCCACAAAGTTGGCAGATTTGGTCCGAAGTGCTCAGCAAGCCCAGCCATTGGTGGGCCCTACCCCTTCCTCCCCTGATACACTGCTCTGGCAAGAAGAACTTCCAGCAACAGCTAGGTACTCCAGCCTCACAGACACTGGAGCTGAATTACACAAAAGGACGTTTGCACCCGGCAGGGAATACTCTACGCACGTGAACCTTGTGGGACAACACTCTGGCACGGCCTGGCGCAAGCCTACAAGTAACTGAGTCATTGATGATGGCAGGCCTGGAGGCTGGGTGACTCTTCTGCAAGTCCTCTGTAACCTCAGCTTCTGGTGTCAAACCAGGCTACCTCACTTATGGGTTTAAAATAGAATCCAGACCAAAGGTGCTGGCTGTGTAGACAAAGGGGGAGGATTGAGTAGACTCAGACTCAGGGTCCCAAGCCAGAAGAGAAGGCTGGAAGCTGTCACAGGCATTCTCACTGTTCCATCTGCTCACCCATCCGACACGTTTCCTACAGACGGGATGGGTCTGTTCATCTTGCCCGTCATCCTCCCCTTGGCCGCGCTTCTCTGTATCCAGGTGGATGACTTCTGTGGGTCGCATCGCCAAGCTCGCCTGCCTTTCGGCTGCCTCGTGGGTCAGGATACGGGGAGCGGAAGCTAGAAGGTGAACGTCGAGGGCCTAGAGAGTGACAGCCAAAGGACAGCAAGACCTAGGGTGGCCCAGCCTCAGAACCAGTCAGGGATGTTTGCAGATTTACAAAATAAGTTCTATGAGAAAAAGGGGCCCGGAAGCCGGCAAGTATCAAAGCCAGCAGAATTAACTTAAGATGCGATCCTATGCTGGGCTAGCTCGTAACAGGGTGCCCAAGAGCCTACTGTTAGTGTTTCAGAACCTTGCTTTTTAAACCGTTTAGTAACTTCAGATCAGCTTTGGTGGGAGAATTTTCACCAAAGAAATTGCCAAGCAAATTAGGGCGTCTGCCCCCTCCCTGAGAACTGGTTTACCAACACTTTACTTGGGGGTTCTCAAAACAAGAGGCTAGAGGCAGGCTAGAGGATTGATTTTGCAAGCAGAATCTTATAGGCTCAAGCTGAAACCCAGCTCCCCAACAGGTGACCCTAAGCAGATTCCTTGACCCATCTGAGTCTGTTTCATCGTGGGTAATACCTATGCATTGACTGTTTAGCCTGTAGCAGGTGTTGGTCTCGGCACTTACACTAGTTCATCAATACCTAAGAGCAATCTCTGGGAATGAAACCTATCAGTCCCCCCATTCTGGAGAGGGGAAATGGAGGCAAAGGCAGACAGAGGGACTGTACTAAGATCTCATTGTGACTGGCTGTAGAATGGGAGCAAACCCGGCCTGAGAGCCCAGACTGGCTTCCAGCCCTGCGCTGCCTGATACAGTGGTCATGGGCCACCTCGCACTACAGAGGACTTCAGTTTGGTTAATTGAAATTGAAGTATGTGATGTGAGACACATGTAAGGCATTTCAGAGATTTTTAGTGGGGGGGGGTGTAGGTGTGTGTGTGACGCCTTGTTAATGCTGTATTGATTATATACAGAAATGATACTTTGGAGATGGTACATTAAATAAGTAGAATCAAATTTAACTACACCTCTTTTTTTGTCTTTAAAAGGGCTGATAGAATTTGTAATTATATCTGGGACTCTGTATGCCTGTGAGGAATGATACCCCAGGCTGATCTCATTGCCTGTTGTAAGCATTGAGTCTAGCATGGAACCCCAAACACACTAAACACTTGAGGGTCATTATTCATCTTAGTGACATCAGTGACATTCACCATGTAACAGGGAACTCTGAAGGAAGCGAGGGAGCCCTCATGGTGTCCTCTCTGGCAGCCCACTTATCCTGGTCACTATCTCCACAGGCTAGAAAGCCTCAAAGGTAAAAGATCCTCACGGGTCTTCAAGCTTTAGCCTTCTCCTCGGGAGGTCAGAGAAGGTGGAGAAGTTGATACATAATTAAGGACATAGTCAAGGCATGTCTACAACAGTATTTCCATGTGCATGAACCTCCACATGTTTGGGGGACAAGTGAGCATACACATGTGCATACGTGTGAGATCAATGTTAGGTATCTTCCTCAATCACTCTCTGCCTTATTCACTGAGACACTAAGCCCGGAGCTCACCAGTTCAGGTAGACTGGCTGGAGAGTGAGACCTGGGCCTCTCTTGTCTCTGCCTCCCCAGCACTGAGATTACAGGCATACACTGCTGTGTCTGCTTACTTTATGAGTATGAGGGGGAGGTGTCGAACTCAGGCCCTCATGCTTTCATAGAAAGCCCTTTGTCCGCTAAGTGAAATCCCCGATGCTGTTTAAATGATCGTGGAAAAAAACGCTCCTGTTTTGACAGAAATGAAATGGCTTGGCCCCTGATCTGGGTACAGCATAGAGAGGTTCAGTGACCCCAAGGGTCGTGTTGTAAGCTTGGTCCCCAGCGTAGTGGGGTTAAAATGTAGTAGAACCTTCGAGATGGAGGGGAGGCGTGATGCAAAGTAACTGTGTCGTTGGGTGGGGCATTGCCCTTGGAAGGGATTAATGTAGTTCTTTGGGGACCCTGGTTAGTTACCTTGAAAAGTTTGTGCAAATAGACAAAGCCTGACCCCGAAGCTCTCTGGCTCCTGGATTACCATGAAATACCTTCCATACAAACATTCCCCATCGGGGTGTCTTCTGCCATCAGATCCTAACCAGAACTATGTAGCAGCTGGTGTCATGCTCTTGGCCCTCTGAAGGAGTAAGCTAAATCGACCTCTTTCTTTACTAATTATCTAGCCTTAGGTATTTTTGCCATAGCAATGGAAAGCACCTAATACAAGCATTGTGGATGTGAACAGGAGCTCATTCTTATTAGCCTCCTGAGGTATCATCTGTGTAGGTTCGAGAGGCAAGACCTATTTTCCATGGCACCTGTCCATGTATGCTCCTCACTACCTGCCAACTCCCCACCTACCCAGAACCTAGGAGAGGTGCCAGACCCCAAGACCCACAAGTCTAGCCCCAGGGAAGCGTAGCAGAGACACTCCACCCCAGTGCTACAATGACCGCGCTGTCCCACAGGCAACTCTGAGCTCCACCAGCCCCACTGTCTGCTGGGCAACCTCCCAGCTCTTCTTCCAGCCCTCAGTCCTGGCTCTGAAGTAGTATGGGGGGGGGTGGAGGGATGGACAGCCAACTTCTCGCCGGGCTCTCTAACAAGTTCCGCTGGTCTGTTTGCTAAAGAAAAATTCCAGTGGGCGCATCCAACACATGGAACTCAAGTACAGAAATTATATTTATCCAGCCCACTGCCAGAGAGATCACATGCCCCGTGAGTCACTCCAGATGTGCTCAAAAACAGAGCCTCTGTGTGGAAGCCCGATCCCCCAATCCCAGAGAGACTTAGCTTAGGTACCAACTCCTGTCCCACCCAGGAGGCATCATCCGCCTCCACCCTGTGGAGCCAGGGAGAGGCCCTTGCTGTCCTTGTAGCCAAGGGCAGTAAGAACTCTGTCATCCCTCGGGGAAGAACTCAGGGCCCACCTGTAGCTCCCGGGGTCCCTCGGGGATAGGAGGTCAATTTTTCTCCCTTCTGGAAGATGCCCTGGAAGGCCTTGATGCTGCTGCTGCTGCTCTCCAGCACCCAGGCTACTGAGTGCCGCAGGTGGAACAGAGGTGAGTTGTTTTGATTCATGTGTTTCTCTGCTGCCCATTCATCTTTCTGCAATAGAATTGTGGATGTGAGTGGTGTCAGAGGGGGGAAGTAATCAGAAGCCCTGTTACTGCTTTGGAAACCAATTCCGCCAGTGCTCTCTGCTTCCTGGCATGCTCCTCCTTGGTAAAAAGGTGATGGAAAAATAACACTGGAAAAACGTCAAAGCAGCTGGTTTGGGAGCCTGATGTAGGTTGAGAACGCATGGGATTGTCCCTGCTGGCGAACCAGAAAGTTCTTGACTGCCTCAGGGAATGGGGACAGAGTCTCTCCAGATCCATGCTGGGACTGCCTGGACCCCTGAGAGACTAACCAAGTTCTGCTGCCTGTGTGAAGGAATGGTGGCCCCTGGGATGCTACCTGAGGGACTGAAACAGAGATTCTTGGCCACACCGGCCAAGAATGAGGCCTCCGGGCTGCTGTGGATGCATTTTTGCAGCCAGACAGAGCCGTCGGTGGCAGGTAAAAATGAAAGAATGTTTGTGGACACCCATCCAGTGTGTTTAGCTCCTGTGGGCCACCAAGGAAAGAAAAGGGTCTGTGCAAAAGTTTTCCTTTTGTGCTGACATCTCCTCCCTCAGGATGTCACTTCTCAGGACCAGGGTGGCATCCTCACTCTGTGCCCAGGCTCTGGCTGTGCTTGGCAGGCACTGGGAACATATCAAGCCAGCTAGTTTATCGCTATTGGGACGTGAAGAGCTGGGAATGCTCTCCACCCCATGCCAGTCTGAAGGGAAATGTTTCCACCGCCTGGAGTCAGCTGAGTTCACATTAGATCTGGAAAAACTGTGTTCCCGCAAATCAATCCAGAAGCTCTATAACACCCCAAATGGCATGAGGATTGGCATGGTGACACGGCTGTGCCCCTCCTTTTCAGATGCAAGGTCATGGAAGGAAAGAGTGGCCTGCGCTGTAGTTTCTACGATGGGAGAGAGGAGGCCATGGCACGTATCTTTTATTTGATCCTCCTTGTGCTTAACCCTGGTTATTAGGGACTAGCCAGGCCTCTGAATAGAGCTAAGGAGTCGAGTGTTGCTGAGATGTAAATAACAGACTCTTCTCACACACACACACACACACACACTCACACTCACTCACACACTCACACACTCACTCACACTCACTTACACACACATACTCACACGCTCACACACTCACATACTCACTCACTCGCCCACTCACACACCCACTCACACTCACACACTCACACTCACTCACACTCACTCACACTCACACACTCACTCACACACACACCTACCTGCTCATCATGCACACAATCACACTTGGAGGTGGAAAGCAGAGAGATCTTCCAATTGGATTCTGTCACTTACTCTTGCCACACCAGGAGCACAAGTTAATTTGCCTATTCAAAGGAGACAAAGGCATATACTCTTCTGAAGGCATAGACTGTCCAGAAGCCAAGAGACAACTGGACATGTGACAAGGCTGATAAACACGCCAGCTGCTTCTGGCAGGCTCCTAATTTCCCTGGCTGTACTTAGCAGGTGGCATCTTGACAGTCGCAAATCCTGCCTTCACAGGGCTGACTTGAGGGCCATATTCAAAGATATGCTTTGAAAACGATGAGACACTACCTGAGTGTCCGTGGCTACATCACTTTAAAAAATGATTCATTACTAAAAAGTTGAGGGTCTCAGCAGAGGTTTGATAGCAACATCTGAGGCTCTTTGCCGGCAGCCCTCAGGCTCTCTGAAGGATCAAGGCCAACACAAATGACCAAAAGGCCATTATGATATGAAGGGCTAAATTTATCGTTCAAGATTGTGTCCAGAGGCAACAAATGATATGGAGTCCTTCCAGGTTCCGTCACAAGTCTTCTGTGTAGTTGGTTTTTACTTTTCCTTCGTCTTAAGCACTTTTTTCTAATTACAAAAGGACACAATTCTTGTCACTTTTAGGTGGGCTCAGTTAATAGAGCGTTTTCCCATACAAGCATGAGGACCTAAGCTACCCCAAACTCTGTATAGAAAAGCTGGGTGTGGCCATCTGTGCTTGTAATCCTAGCGCACTGCATTGGGGCGGAGGCTGAAGCAGAGGGATCCCGGAGTTCACTGCCCACCATCCTAAGCCAACTAGTGAGTTCCCGGCCAAAGACATTCGGCCTCAAAGAAGATGGACAGCTCCTGAGGTGACATTCCCAAGGCTGTCCACACATGCATGCATGCGCACGTGCACACACACACACACACACACACACACACACACACACACACACACGGATTTCCCACAGGTATTGCCCCTTCTATCTTATCTTATGCCAACCCCCAACCACCACCCTGCCTTCAGTGAATTCCCTGAAATGAGTCTGAGGGAAGCCCTCCTCATAAGACTGTCTACTTCCCTCCTTCCCCCCCACATCCCTCCGCACCCGTCCAGACACCCCACTCCTCTATATAGAAAGAAACGCAAAAGGAGTCTGCCCACTGCCTTCTCCCGTTTCTCCCACCCTCTCCCTAAGAAGTGCTCTCCAGGATTCCCCCAGCGTAGATTTCACAGCACGCTCCAGGGTGGTCCATTCCACCCTCCCAGCATGATGAGCTCCCAATGACTCACCTGTGGTCACTGTGGTTAGCAGGGCCAACCTGAGGACACTGACCTACACACAGCCACAGCCTAGCGTCTTGTCAGAGCAATGTTTGAAGGGGGAGGACTTGCCTGACTTTAAAAAGAGAATATATATATATATATTATGTGTATATATATATACACATAATAACCAATAGGCATAGCCATATTGTAAATACATATTAATTATTCCTATTTCCTTACATTTATTTACTTGTGCAAGTGTACCACCGAGCACTTGTGGAGGTCAGAGGACAACTTGTAGGATCCAGTTCGCTCCTTCTGTGCCATGTACGTCCTGGGGACTGACCTCAAGTTGTCAGGCTTGGTGGCAGACGCCTTTCCTGCTGAGCCGTCATGCATGCCCCGCCTAAAGTATTTATTTGTGAAGCAGTTTTGTAAAGCAGCGAACCCTGAGGGTTGGGGGCATCCCGCCTTCAGACGTGTGTCCTTGCTCTTGGATGCTCTACCAGGTAAGAGCAATGGCTGGCGAGATCACTGCAGTGTCACCTAGCACCCACGCAGATGACCTTTTGCAGATAAGAAAAGCAGAGGGTCAGGGCAAGGGGGGACAAGCCCCGAATGACCCTGCTACAGGGCCATGCCCATCTGAGATCAGTCCTGCTACCCTGCTCACTTGGCATCATTTCATCCCCCTGCTGCGGAGCTTTCTAGTAAAGATAGCGCCTCTAACCCTGTCCCACGGGTACCTGGCACAGAGGCTATTACTGTGGCTTTCTCCGAACAGCACCAATTTTCCAAAAGGCTGGCCCAGGAGCCAAAAAAGTGAGCGACATCAGAATCTGGCAGAAGATCTTTCCTAAGCAAGAACATTTTCCCTTCCACACCCAGAATTGCTTCAAGGATTCATTCACAGTGGGGCTGTGCTTTGGCTCGGTGTGGTCTGCAGCCTGCAGTCTTTCTAGCAAGTCCTTTGGTGCAAGTGCTGTATATGGCTGCACGGGACTCCAAGGGAGCACTCCACACACAGGAATGGGAGCAGGAAAGGCAGAGAGATTTTTGAACCAGGATCACAGCAAGTCAGAGGTCAGACTCTGACCTGAACCAGCTTCCTCCTCAGGCGCCTTCTGGCTGCTCAGTGTGTCACAAAGTCTACACAGGATAAAGTGTGGGGAGATAGCAGCTTCCCTAACAAAGATAAAGGCAAAGCTGCTCCTTCTGAGCTGGAGCAGGAACCCCTAAGAGATAAGGGAGAAGAGTGTGCAGAGCAAAGTCAAGCCTTCTTCTTAGCTGAGACCAGACCCGAAACTCCAAGTGACGACAGTTACTCTCTTGCAAAGAGGAAGGGTTTTGTTTGTTTGTTTGTTTGCTTTTGTTTTGAATTCTTTTTTATTAATTCATTTTTCACATGCCAATCCCAGTTTCCCCCTCCCTCCTCTTCTCCAGCCCCCTCCCTCATATCCCCCCCACCCCTCCTCCCATCTGCTCCTTGGAGAAGGTAAGGCCTTCCCCCAGGAAGTCTATTAAGTTTGTTCCATCATCTCCTTGAGGCAGGACCAACAGGAAGGTTTTGGAAAGCACTCTACAAAGAACCAGCTCAGTGGCAGAGTGAGCAGTGTGTCTCTACAGTATCATTTACCCAGTCAACAAACAGCAGTGGGCACAACGCTAGTTACCAGGAGTACAGTGATAAACAATACAGACAGGTCCATTCCCTCGTGGAGCTGCCATTCTAGTGACTGGAGAGATGTACACCTGAATAAAGAAGATATGATTTGTTGGACAGCAGTAAAGAAAGGACAGAGGCTAGAGCGTGTGCAAAAGCTTACCATCCTAAATATGGGAGTCACAGAAAGACCCCACTGAAAAAAATCACAAACAACCTGAATGGGGAGGGAGTCTTGTGACCTCTGTGGAGCGTGGGGGCAGGTATTTCAGGCAGAAGAAACAGATAGGCAAAAGCCTTGAGACAAAGCTTGCCGGATGTGCTTAAAAAACAGTGAGGCTGTTGATGGCCAGAGCCATGTGAGCCAGGGAGATGGGAGATGCACGCAAATCCGATGGCGATTCTGATCTTGGAGCGCCTGGTACCATGTGAAGATTGTCCTCTGAAAGAAGTAGAGCCAGAGACGGTTCTGGGTGGAGTGACATCTGCAGGCCCTTGTTTCCACAGACTTACTTCAGATAGAGAGCTTAGAACAGATTAAGGGTGAGCCGGGGGACCGAGCTGGAGGCACCATTTGGGGAGATGCTCGGGGTTAGAAGACCAGGAAGCTACTGGGATGTGGCAAGATGCAGGCATGTTCCTGATGAATTGGGAAAGGACCATCACCAAAATTGAGTGATTAGTTGGATATGGGGTGTCAAAGAGAGGAAAAGCCAAAGATGGCAGCTGAGCCACTGAGGGAGCTGGAAAAGGCTGCGATTGATGCAGGAGATGTGTGCGAGCACACATGTGTGATCGTGTGAGCGTGTGCATGTGGTAGTTGAATAATAACGGTCCTGTAGGCTCATAGAGATTGGCACTATTGGAAGATGTGGCCTTGTTGATGTAGCTTCGTTGGAAAAAGTGTGTTAATAAGGGGTTGGCTTTGAGGCCTCAGAAGCTCAAAGAGGGCCTAGTGTGTCTCAGTGTCTTCCTGCTGCCTGCTGATCTGGATGTAGAATTCTCTGCTCCTTCTCTGCACCGTGTCTGCCTGCAATGCTTCCCACTATGATGATAAGGACTAAACCTAGGAACTGTAAACCAGTCCTCATTAAATGTTTTCCTACTTAAGAGTCAGGCAGTTGTAGTGCATCCCTTTAATCCCAGCACTTGGGAGGCAGAGGCAGGCGGATCTCTGTGAGTTCGAGGCCAGCCTGGTCTACAGATCGAGTTCCAGAACATGCCCCAAAGCTACACAGAGAAACCCTGTCTCAAAAACAAAATTAAAAATTAAAAAAAAAAAGAGTTGCTGTGGGCACAGTGTCTCTTCACAGCAGTGGAAAACCTGAGACAGTGTGTGTGGGAGAGAGCACGTGTGGCTGGGCCTGTCTGTAGTCATGGGGTGAGAGCGGAGGGTGTAAGTGGGAAGCAGGGCCTTAGCCCCAAGCTGGAGGTAAGGGGGAGGAGCCATTACAAATCACCAAAGGAAGCTCCAGGAGGAAAGGGCATCTACCTTGAATCCTAAAAGTTGCAGCATCAGTCCAGCGGTCAGTGTGGCCAGGAAAAGGGGGAAACACAAGACTGAGACCAGCATGTAACTTTGCAAGCAGACCAGGGAGCAGAAAGCACACCTGAGGCGAGGGGAAAGCAGAAACACGTGGAAGACACAGCGTGCATTTCCGTGGAAGACACAGTGTGTGTTTACGTGGAAGACACAGCATGCGTGAAGACACAGCATGCATTTACTCGGAAGACACAGTCGTGTGTTTACATGGGAGACACAGGGTGCGTTTACGTGGAAGACACAGCGTGCGTTTACGTGGAAGACACAGCCATGCGTTTACAGATCCCTGTAAGATCCAGTGGAGAGGGGGAGGTGGGTGGTGGGGGGAAGAAAAGCTTGAATCTCTGGCTCTGCGTCTTCACAGAGGCTTGGTGCACACATGGAGATTGTGGCTCACAAGACCGTAGAAGGTGTGTGTGTGTGTGTGTGTGTGTGTGTGTGTGTGTGTGTGTGTGTGTGTGTACAAGGAGCAGGTGACCGGCATGAGGGAAGAGCTGAAGGCCGGAAGAAGTTGTCTGAGAAAGTGTGAGCATGGGAGGAGACAGGAAACCCAGGGACTGCCAGGCAGCAGTTAAGGGTCTATGTGAGGGGATGACTGAGGCTGTAAAATACAGCTACGTAAAGTGAGAAGAAGAGCTACAGGCAATTGATGATTCAGGGGCAGGGAGATTCGGTCTTCTCCTAGGATGAGATCCCCACCCCCAGGAGGTTAGCAGGCCCCAGGAGGCCAACTTTAAACACTTATGAGCAACACTAAATGAATCCAGCAGGTTGTGTTTACAAATTTATGTATATACATGTATGTGTATACACACACATATATACATATAAAACTTATGATTAAAGACTAAGAGACCATGAATTTGAGAAGGCATCAAGGGGAACATGGGAGGAGACGGATGGAGGAGGGGAAGAGGTGCTGATGCAAATACAGTGCTCGTGTGAAATTCTCAAGAACTAAATTAAAAAAATAAGGATGTTCCCAAGAGCTGGGGAGTGGAGTTTCTCTCAGATCCTAGCTTGAGTCAGTCTCCTCCATCTTTTCACACAGGTATAAAAGAAAAGCCATAAAAAGGACAGCGGGGAGATGGTCAGAGGGTAAGGTGTTTGCTGGGCAAGCATGAGGACCTGAGTTCAAATTCTCAGCACCCATGTAAAAGCCAGGCATGGCAGCATGAACCTGTAACCCCAGAGCTATGGTATGGGGACAACAGGACCCGTGGGGCTCCCTGGCCAGCCAATCTAGCTAGAACAGAAGCCCCAGGTTCAGTGGGAGACCCTGTCTCAAAATACAAAGCTGAGGAGCTGACTAAGGGAGATATCCGAATGTCAACCTCTGGTCCCCACCTCGTGCCCCTGCAAGCAAGTGCACCATCACACATACGTGTACACACATGCACACACACCAACACACAGAAATAGCTCACTCCTTGATCTATCCAGGTATCCATGTTTCGTCCCCTACAAAGAAGAAGACAGGGACAAAATTCACATCCCCCTGGGACCCTCACCTGCTGCTTCCAGGCAACAGGCACGCAGAAGCACAAAACCTCATTCACCCCAGGCCTGAGGAACTTGTGACAAGCTACTGCCTAGGCCACATCAGCAGAGCCGCACCCAGCCACAGCAGGAGATTCCAAGGGTAGACTTTTCAGGAAGGGCCTTTAAAGCTGAGGTAGGCTTTTATCACTTCTGGTGGAAATCCCTCTGGAGCGCTTTACACTGCTCCTGCCCTCCTTAGCACATCTAACAGAACTTAGTGCACAGAACACAGTCTGACCAAGCAGCAGAGTAACCACCAAGGACTATGAAGAGTATAGTTCACAGCTTCGGAGGGCCACCCACACAGTCGTCTGGTTTTCACAAGTCTTTCTCTGGTTTCCTAAAGGTCACAACCCTTTCCTACCCGTAAGCTTATCAGTCGTCTGTGACTGGTGTCTGGGCTGAGCCGGTGGCAGGGGCTGCTTGACCCAGTCCTAAAGAACTGGGGTTTCCCGTAATCGTTCCGTGGTCAACAGTTTTCGGTCTTCTCCTTCACGCCTCCCTCAGTTCCGAGGGTTTTGGATCCTGCATCCCACCAGGAACCCACCCACCTTCCTCCAGCTTCCAAATGTGTCCCTGGCCTTGGCTGGGCCACAAATGCATTGCTAAATCATCTAGTCCTTGCAGGAAGCTCTGAGCTCGGCCACGTGGCCCCCGTAGAGCCCAGTGTCAAGGTCTTACAGCAGCCTCCTTCCTTTCCTTTGCCATCTGTGCGAAGATCCTTGGCATTTCTACGTCAGATGCCTGGCTTAGCCGAAGTCTCTGCTCACGAGGCTGCAATGCAGCACTTACACACAGACTGCTTTAGGCACTCAGAAGCGCAGTGTGTCAGGCAACAGTTTTAGGGACTCCCTTGTGGAATTAGGGAACTCTTATTTGCTTGATTTTTTTTTCTATTTTGCCTCATCTGCTTTGCTTTAACCTAAATTTCCTAGTAAAAACGTAGCCCAGGTTGATAAATGTTTTTCCAGTTTCTCGAACGGTTCTGATGAGTTGCTGGTCTGACGTGCCTGGGAGCTCTCCGAGACACAAGACAATCCTGTCACCTCCCCGCTCCTGTGTCCATCCACTTTCAAGATGCACTTAAGGGCTTCCCACGGGTTAAGTCTAGAGGGGTGGCCAAAGCATGTGTCAGTCCCACAAGTCAGTCTCTTGTCTCTTCCAGCTGCGCTGTTCCCTGCTGCCCACCGGCCAAAGAGGTCCTTGGCACTGCCATTGAATCCAGTCCTGCAGACCTCCCTGCAGGACGTGGAACTCCTCTATGAGGTAAGCAGAGGGAAAACCATCGGCCTACGTCACCCAAAGGCATGTGTCTTCTCTCCTTTTCTGAGAAATGGTCGGCCTGGGCCCGTGGACTTGAATGATCTGTGCTGTAGCAGGGAATAGCCCAGGCTCATTCCTGGAGGGGATGAAATCTGGCCTAAGTCAACGTAAGGGACTCCTGGGACCACTTCACCTTTCCCACGCATCCTGACAGAAATGGCGGTATTCAGAATTCAGTCCAGGCATAAGGAAAGGTGGGATTTGTTCCATAGGAGCCACTACCACACTGAGGCAAACTCTCCAGACATCACTCATCAGTAGTATCCTGACAAAGCCACACTGGGACCCAGGCATTGTCATGCCTCTGAGGCTTTGCCTGCTGTGTGGAGATGCTGGCTGGCTGCCCCACTAGCCCACCTAAGCTCCTAGAAGCCTGCACTACCAGACAGGCTCTCTTCTTCCGCTTACAGCTGCTTCCCTGAGACCCCCCCCCCCCCCCGCCTCTAAACCACCAGGTGAGTTTCTTGAGCTTACTCGGTCCAGGTCAGCGCTGGAGGCTTTAACTTCAAAGTCTGAACTTCGGTCCATTTGCCAAGAGTCTCTGAGCCCAAATCTTAACTGTTACATGGAGCTTAAGTGTGATACCCAAAAGTCCATTCCAGCTTTGACCCCTGTGACACAGTGAAGCCAGGGAGGAGATTTCCAAACACTGCCCTGAGCAGCAAGCTGCCATGCACAGCCTCTACCAAGCCTTAAAAATGGGAGTCACAAATCAATGGTTGAGAAAAACAATAGTATCGTGGAAGGCACAGGAGGACAGAGAGATGACAGATAGTGTCGTGGAAGGCAGGGGAGAGCAGAGGGAGAGGAGGACACTTAAGATGTGGAGTCTTTCCATTCTTGGAGCATTTACTAGATTCCTCATGGAACAGGGCAGGGATGGAGATGACACAGCCCCTATTCTTGTGAGCCAGCTGAGATAAGACATCTCTGTAGCCCAACACCCCCGGCGCAACCCCTGAAGTCTTGAAATTCCCAACTTCTGGTTACAGTTGTATCTGTGATGGTCAGTCTAGGCTTCAGAAGGTCTCCAGTGGGTAAGAGGGAGAAGAGAAGATGGGATCAATTAACTAAACGATGACATTGACACCAGGCCCCGTGTCACGTGTGTCCATATTTGTCTTGCCTGCTTCTCGTGCTGTCCCAATGGAGCAGATGCTGTAAGTGACCATTTTACAGAAAAGAAAAGTAAGGCTCAGAGAAGCCAATGAGGAAGATCCGAGCAGGGGCGCAGGTCCCTTGGATTCTAAGCTCTTCCTATGGCTGCCTCGATACATGGGGATAGTGGCCCTTACTCTGTCTTCAGCAATGCCTGGCTCTGTGTTTTTCCTTATCCCATCTTTCTCCACAGCTCTTGCTGGCGGAAATCGAGATCAGCCCGGACCTGAAGATCTCCATCAAGGATGAGGAGCTGGCTTCACTGAGGAAGGCTTTGAACTTCCACTCGATCTGCAATAATATAATCCCCAAGCACATCCCAGATATCCGCAGGCTGAGCACAAGCCTGGCCAACTACCCTGGAATCCTCAAGAAAGAAGACTTTGAAAGGACAGCACTGACCCTGGCTTATGCGGCCTACAGAACAGCCTTGTCTGAAGGGTACCAGAAGGACATCTGGGCCCAGTCCCTCGTTAGCCTTTTCCAGGCCCTGAGGCATGACTTGATGCGGTCCTCAGGCCCTGGCATGTCTTCCTGAGAGACTGGCCCATGCCAGGACCGTGAAGCAGGGACAAACACACACAGTCTTCCAGAACATTCATCTGCTACTCTGCTTACAGAGACCATGAAGACAGTATGTACTGCCCACACAGAATAACAAAGATAAATGAGTCATCCTAATACTCTTTCATTTCTTGTTTTTCTGACACACATCTCTGAACTATGATATGATGTTACCTAAGCTAAAAGAAAGGGCTAGATCGGGATTTCAAGATACGTCCAGAGACCAACTGGTCTACTTGGTAATGAATATAAGTCTAAGATACACTTACACACACACACACACACACACACACACACACACACACACACAGAAGTACAGACTGCAGTCTGGGCATGGCGGGAAGATGGTGGACAGATTCCTTCGGTTCTAAGGGACCTGTGTTAAATGAACACTTTCTGGCAGGTTCTACGATAAATATTAAAAGGGCAGAGATACATTCAAATAAATACATCGTTAGCCAGGAAAGGCAAACTTTGTTTTCCTCGAAGCCATGGAGAAGAAATCAGTCAAAAAGCCAGTAATGTGGTGACCAAATGACTTGACTCATCTTTTCTGAAGTTGCTCTGAGACAGAAGAAACAGGAACGGCCCATGGAAGTTCCGGGAGTCCATCCACGCCCTGCCGTTTGAACATGGAAGCCAAGCTACAGCACATAGCGCCCTCCTAGTCAAAGAGGTGGCGACGCCATACTCGTCTGTCCTGAGATGCTACAGTCTTGTCAGAGATTTGGGTGCTCCTGATAAAAATCACTTTCAGATGACTTGTGGTTTACTTTCAAATGCTGAACTTTTCGTTTTCAAAATGCTGGTTCAATATCTACTCATTATTTATATTAAATAATCACTGGTCGATATTTAAATGATATGTATGCAATGTCTTCCACCCTTGTTTGATATCTAAACTACTTAGGACAGTCTGCTAAAGGAGGCAGACAACTCTCAGGTCCCCTCTACTCATGACATGACAGCAGCCATCTGGCAACTGTGGGGTTCTACAGGGAAAGTCCTGTGTCTGGGGAGTCCCTGTCCCCTTCCATCTCACACACAAGATCCAGGCAAGCTCTGTCCATCCTGTGTGGGGTCCTGGGCTATCCTCTGTCACCTGACATTCAGGTCATTAAAGTGCACTTTTCACCGTTACCCATACACTTACCCCTGACAGCTATCCTTCTTGAGTGGCCTGGTCCCACATAAGCCAGGTTTCGTAACACCCTGTGCTGACACATAGTTGATGACCTGTGTGGGGACTGAAGGCTTTGCCCCAGCGCAAAGACCTAGCTTCCTTCTCTTCTGGGCTCCAACTGGATTCTGGGACCTACACTGCAGAGTCTGATATTTGAGTGAGGGCATCTGCTGGGCCACATTCTGGAAATGGTATTTTACAATCTCCTCTGAAGCATGATGAGTTTGGACTTCCCCTAAGTCTTCCAGGTGAGCTTTGCCTGCATGTTCTAGCTGCATGATCTCTCTGCAGAAAGGCCAGCGTGCCGGAAGAAGGTGCCTCCCAAGAACAAGCATGGCGTTTCGTCCTCAAAGTCTCCTGCTCAGAACAGTAGCCCAAACGGTTTCCAATGCTGCCTTCCTCCCGATCTCCCTCTCTCCCTCTCTCCCCTCCCTCTCTCTCCTCTGTGTGTGTGTGTGTGTGTGCATGTGTGCGTGAGCACGCACATGCACAGTGTGTGTATATGGGAGGGAATGAACACAGAGGTCAGAGGAGAGTGTCAGGTGTCCTGCTTCTATCCCTCCCTCCCTCCCTCCCTCCCTCCCTCCCTCCCTCCCTCCCTCCCTCTCTCTCTCTCTCTCTCTCTCTCTCTCTCTCTCTCTCTCTCTCTCTGCTTTATTCCCTTGGGACAAGGTCTCTCACTGAACTTAGGCCAGGTTGGCTACCAGAATCTCCAGCCTTCAGTGCTGGAGTTACTGGGGTTCATGGCCACATCCAGATTTTAACATGGGTGCTGGGGATTTGAACTCAAGTCTTCATGCTTGCCCAGTAAGTGTTCTTACCCACTGAGCTATCCCCCAGCCCTGATGCTGCTTTTACTTATTTTTCCACGTTTGCACATTACATGTTCTATGACAGTCCATTGCTCTGCTTGCCTCTTTTTCTGTTATACTTGGGTCCAGTTATGAATACTTTGGAGGGTTTTCTATGTTTCTATCCCCTCTCCTCCCCTCTCAATATTCCACCCCACCCATACTTTCCCTTTGCCTCCTTCAGCTATAACAAAAGTCAGCATGCAGACATGCCTGGATTTTGCAGAAATGAACCCGTAATTCATGGCTGACCTTTACTCTGTGTAGTTTCCTGGAAGTGAAGTGGGCAGGAGACCAGCGATACCTCAGCTCCTAGATACTGTGCAAAACCCTCAGAGCAGCTTTGCCCCCACCCTGAGTCTGCACCAGATTCCTTCTTGTACTCAGGTGTCCGGTGGAAGACCCCACCTTTGCGTTGGCTGCCTACCATGCTGTAAGAGCAGCAACTTACGGGGAAGGGGAACTAGAGATACATAAGGAGGAAAAACCATCAGTTGGTGAGTGAAGCCGCTCTGATGACAAGTGGGCTAGGCACCAATCCATGAGTATGGCAGAATATCATTAGGAATCATTTCGTTAACATTTTCTTACCAGTGATGTTTGGTTATATCCTGGGTCTCTGGGCTACCAGGCGGTGTCAGGGGTAGGCTCCCACTCGTGGCATGGGTCTCAAGCTGGACCAGCCATTGATTGGCTACTCGCATAATTTCTGTGTCACCTTTACTCCAGCATCTCCTGTAGGCAGGGCAAATTGTAGATCAACAGTTATGTGGCTGGTTCAGGGTCCCAATCCCTCCAGCGGAAGTCTTGCCTGGCATAACTAGTTTCTTAGACATCAGTCTAGTCTGAATGAATTCAGATCAATTTTATACACAAAAAGTTTATAACACTGACTTCATTGATACATTAAATCAAATATCATGTCCAACAAAGTAACCCCTCCCCCCAAAATAACAACCCCGCAGTTGGCTCAGTGAATGACAGAGGAGAGAGGTTAAAAACACACCTTCCTGTTTGCTCGTCCTACACATGACAATCATATGTGCTCACAGAGTTTTGGGGCATGAAATTTGCTGGGGAGACCTGCGTATCATCTCCACACTGTCTGGAAGCTTCTTGTGCAGTTGGGACGCTCACAGCCCTCTGCATCTCTGGCGTTACAATGACAAACCTATCACAGCTGATGCTGTGTTGCTCAGTCGCCTCACCTGAATCTAACGAAGGAGTCACCCCTGGAATCGCCCCGTCAAACGAATGTCACCAGGTGAACTAGTATGAAACATAATGCCAGCTAAGTGACTTTGTAATGCCACCTGCTTTCCTAGCCTGTCTTCATATATTGCAATCCTCCTTTCTTTGTAGTTAAAAACACACACAACATGAACTTGCCATCAGAGCTGTGTTGACGTATCCAAACTTTCACGTATCTGCACAGTGCCTTCTTAGTCTTCTTTTCTTTCATTTTGTTTTGTTTTTTTGGTGAAGGTGCAAGGTTCAGACCCAGGGCCACCTGCCCACTGAGCAAGCGCTCTGCCACTGAGTCACGTTAGCAGCCTACACATTGATGTGTGACCGCCCGCCCTCTTGAAAGGTTTCCATCTTGAGGAGCTTTGAACAACTCTCTTCCCGTTTCTCCCCACATCTTGGCTACTGTTCTACTTTTCATGAGAGATTGACCACTTTAGCAGGGGGTGGGGGTCTCACACCTGTATTCTCAGCACTCAGGAGGCTGCTATAGGAGGATCCCCATGAGTTGGAGGTCAGCCTGAGCTGCATAGTGAGTTCTAATCCATCCTGGCCTAGAGAATGAGACTCTGTCTCAAAAATGCAAAACAAATATTTTGAGAGCTTGACTACTTTGGATACCTTCTTCATGTACTCCTGTACTCCTTATTCTGGGAAATGTTTTCTTCATGTGGGATAGGCCAGGGGAACTGCTGGCCCTAATGTGCAACTTACCTTGCTTCATTTTATTCAACAAATTTCACCTGTGCTGTAATGCAAGTGTCCCGATTGAGTTACTAAACTCACTGGAATCTTTGTCACCTCAGATTATCTCATGGAGGAATTTGAAGCGGCTCCCGGGTTTGACAGATCTTGATTTCTACAGCTGTTCATTATTATCCAATCCCTCTCATCCCTGTAAGCAAAACATCACAAGCATGTGGTCTTGTTTATTCTGCATTTCCAAACTGTCACAAAAATGAGGCAAGGATGGAGTAGATGAACTAGCCCGTCTTTGACATGCTGGTAGAGATGGTCCATCAGACATCGTGCATTAGCTAGATGACTTCAAAGATCTGCCAGTAGTTTCACTGGCCCTGCAAATCAAGGAGAACTGGTTTTGTGGGGCCACTTCTCTGGGCACTCTACTTTGAGTCCAGGGATCACTTCAACGGGCTTGGCTACAGAGCTCACAAGGTGCTCAAATCCTATGAATGCCCACAAGCCCTGGCTCTGCATCTCCCAGATCAAGGGGATCTGGCCAAGGACCATCTAGTAGAAGAGGTTAGGGTCTTTTCTTTCTCTTTTTCATCTTGTTCCAAATCCACATGTCCTTTCTGAACATTGAAAAAAATATATAAAAAGAGGCTAATCTTTTGTCCAAATCTGTAAGCAGGAGAAATTCCGGTTCTAACTACTGATGACCCTTGCCCCATCAACCAGCATGGCCCTGCATTCTGTCTCTACCCTGTGTCTCCATCAAGGAAGTCTGCCTGCTTCCTTTCTTGGTAAAGAGCCTCAGAGAGCTTCATGAGCACCCACTCAGACTGGCATCTAGACTCTTCCAGAACAGAGGGGAGCCTCCCCTCTTCTCAAGCATCCCAGGGTGTTTCCTCCAGGCTTGTTCTTCCTGCTGGCTCTGACCTTTCTAACCCCCAAGTGTCCAAGAAGCAAAGTTTGCCTGAGGGGAAGTCTTAATACTGTTCAGTTCAGAACCAATGTCCATATTCTCCTGCCCCAAATGTGTCTTCTCCCCCAGGTGGTGAGCAAGTGATTCTCCGGGGAAAGCTGGGTCCCATGCTTGGAAACAGCACCGCCGTGCTTGGGGAGGTGGGATTACGCTCAGGGTGCTGACCAACATCCAGCCCCTGGGATGTTTGAGAAATGGAAAAACAAGCTTCGAAAGCCGCCTGGGTTCTGCCAAATCAGCAGGCCCCTGCTGTGACCAATCAAGGGCTGCCTTCACATGCGACATTGGCTCATTCTTTTCAACTTGCTGATAGGCTTTGAGGAATGGGCGGAACAACTGGCCTGTGCCTGCTTCCCATTGGTGCAGGAAAGTTGAAGGTGGACCTCCAGTAGGTCTTAGTCCTGTAACAAAAAAGGAATGTCCTGGAGATTCTTCATGCCTGCTTTGGAAGTCCAGACTCCAGGAAAACTCAACTAAGTAGGAGCCCAATTTGAAGGAAAGAAATCTAAACAGAGTTGAGAGGTCAGGTCCTAGGAGACAGCCTCCACCCCCACCCCACTCCAGTCTGAGGTCTGCAGGTGCCTCAGACTAACAACGGTGCTTGCTTTAGGGGAAGGGGCTACCAGAATCTTACCAACAGTCAGTCAGGTCGGAGGTGAAACAGCAGCTGCCCCCAAACAGGTCATCGGAAAGAAGAAAAGCAACTGTTTTTATTTTTGAAAGCCTTCTAATGGTTCTTCGAGGCTGATCAGCAGCCGCAAGCCCACAGCTTGGGAGGGCTTTTACTGATACCTAGAATGAAGCCACCCTCTTGTTAACCATGGAGCGAGAACCCACGGTGCCCGGCATCTAACCCTTCTCCAGCTCCTTTTCCATGGCCATAACACTATGCTGCTCCATCCCACCTAAGGCAGAAGGCGAGGAGCCCAGCTTTCCGTGGAAACTGGGGACAGCCACTGTGCTTTGCTGCTCCAAAGACCAAAGAGGCCTGACTTCTGGAAGACAGGGAAGGCGTGAGAAGTCTTCCTGGACTGAGAGCGGAGCATAGTGTGGAGCAGAAGAGAACGCCATCGAGAACTCAACCCAGACAGGTCCACCATGGGCTTGCTGCAGGGCCTTCTCCAAGCGAGAAAGCTGCTATTGGTCATCTGTGTGCCACTGCTACTGCTGCCTCTGCCCACCATCTACCCCACCAGTGTAAGTAGCAGCCTGCCCACCCCTATCAGGGCATCAGAGGGAGTCTGGGAGCAAGGGAGAGGGGTCTGGAGGGAGTGGAGTGTTTGCGGGGCACCCCAAAATGACTTCAGTGTGACTTGGATGAAATTGTCACGCTTTTCTAGGAGATACCAAAGTACTTTCTTCCTTAAAACTATCATTTCCATCCCTCTGTCTCTTCCCCCTGTTCTGCCCTCCACAGAGTAGGAGACCACAGCTGAAATAACTGCTGGAAAAGGGGAGGAGCTGTGGTTGACCCCATAGAAAGGACAGGCTGGGGAGCCCCTGCTTCTCAACCTGTGGCTATCATTATGTAATAGTAATTAGAGATACAAAAAGCCCTTCACTATCAATCCAGAAGGAGTGGGGCTGGGAAGGAGTCTATCCAGAGATCATGGTGGCCTCAGAAAATCAGAATGTGAAAATGGCCATGCTCAACCTTCTACGCAAACTTTTGGGAAACGGTTGTTGAAGTTGAAAGCATAGGTTAGCCTGTTACTCTGGTTCTCAGACTATCTGAATCTTCTATGCTTTCTTTTCTGCTCAAAAAAAAAAAAAAAGAGCCGCACTTAAAGCAACAAGAAAACAGAAATGCAAGCTCCAGAGCTCTAGACCATGACCTGATTCTAAAGCAGGGGTTCGAGAACTAAGGAGCTGAAGCTTCGTTCCATCCAGGCGGCCTCATGCACCTCATGGTCTTCCTTCCCTTCTTCCCCCATCTCTCCTCAGATGTCTGGGGGCAGATAAACCCACCCAGGGCAGGCACTGTCCTTGAGACTTTAGGAAAAAAATAAGCTAAGGCAGGTTGACTACAGGAATATCTCCCACACTGTTCCCTGGGGGACTGGGTAACCAAGATTAAATTTAAACACTTAAACAGAAGGGATTATCATGGCCTTGTTAAACACAAGCTGACTTAAATCTTTAGCAAAATAAACACTTCAGTGTGCCAAGGAGACCCCAACTAACTCTGGTCTGAGATTAGCAGACAGTAATTGCCAATGACTTTTTTTTTCTGGGCTGTATAACGGTTAATTTTCTGCTTTGTCTAAGTAGACCTGATTGTTTCGAGTTTTCTTCTCATGGTATTTTTCTCCCAATGTCAGGTCAGTTTAAAGAAATTCCCATGAGAAACACATAATGCCCTCTTCTACTGAGCAGTATTAGGAAGCCCTGCCTGCCTAACCCCTCACCCCCACACTGTCAGCCTTCATCTTTGGGGACCTTAACTAGTGTCCACAGGAGGCACAAACTAGTTGCCCAATGCTGGTTATGTCTCTCGGCTACCATCATCCAACTCTGGATTCTGATAGTAAAATCCTTAGAATTCCTAGACAGAATTGCTTGTTCTAGGCTGCCCTTGAGAGAGGCAGCTGAGTGTCTGGGCAGGAACCCTTAGCTTACAGTCTGCTGATTCTTCCAAGTGATGAGCCACAGCCACATCTTAGGAGGTGTCGAAATGACTTTTTCCTCTCTCCTTGCCCAGGCCTTTAAAGTCTAGACTCTATGATGCTACGGAAAAAGAGGGTAGGGGTGACTGTGTGGCACTTGCTTGGCATACAAAAGGCCCTAGACTTGCTCTCCAGCATAGAGAGGATCGCCAAAGAGGACATTTATCCGAACACTTCTGTGTCCCTACTGGAAGTTGCACCCCAGTCTTCCAAAAGAGATTTATCAAAGTGCCCCTCAGTCACAGCAAAGGAACAGACTTCAAGCCCCGTCTACTAAGGTTTGAGTGAGGTATGACTGAGGAGGGATTGAAGGGTGAACTTCCTAGGAAGGGAACCTAAGGGAAGGAAGGAAACTGTCTACACAGGGGAAAGGAACGCCACTTCCAGCACTTCCCCTTTTCATGGTGTGTTTGATTGGTCTGTTTTCTTTGTTGGGTTTTGGTTCTATCCTGTTCTACTGACAGTGTCTTGCCATGTAGCCCAGGCTAGCCTCAAATTCACAATCTTCCTCCCACGCCCGGCTTCCATTCTAATTCTAGGAAGGGAGCGAAAAGAAATAAGCACTACTTATTAGAGGCATTCCTGACCTGAATGCTTGTGTGGGGCCTGGGGGTTCCAGAGCACCTACCCACACACAGTAAGATAAGAGACCTGTTAGCCCACGTAGATTTATCCATGTGCCGGAGTCTGGTCAGATGCAGGGGACTCTGTGGAGTCCCCGGGTGTCTAACTCCACAGTCACCTGAAGGAGAAGAGGCATGGGGAATGGAAGAAAGTTGGTGTGGGTTCCGTGGGCAAACTAAGAGAGACACAGACCAAAGATCCTCTAAAGATGTCTTTCATCCTTCTACTCTAAAGGAAGCTAGACAAAAATGACAGTGGGCTACTCTCTTCTCAGTACTGTAGGAGACAGGTGATCGTTAATGTTTCCTGATGCTATTTACAGCAGAAAAGGGCACCCCTGCCCACCTAACTCTTCCAGACTCCAAGCAAATAGTGCCTAGCAAAAAGAAAATCGGTCTGTTGCTCTCTGTCTCTGTGTCTCTGTCTCTGTGTCTCTGTCTCTCTGTCTCTGTCTCTCTCTCTGTCTCTGTCTCTCTCTCTCTGTCTCTGTCTCTCTCTGTCTGTCTCTCTCTGTCTCTCTCTCTCTCTCTCTCTCTCTCTCTCTCTCTCTCTCTCCTCTCTCTCTCCTTTTCTCACTTAAATCGGGCCTCTGTAAGCCGGGCATTGGTGGCGCACGCCTTTAGTCCCAGCACTCGGGAGGCAGAGGCAGGTGGATCTCTGTGAGTTTGAAACCAGCCTGGTCTACAGAGTGAGTTCCAGGACAGCCTCCAAAGCAATACAGAGAAACCCTGTCTCGAAAACAAATAAAAAAACAAAAGAATTGGGACCCTGTAAAGTAACCAGGACAAGGGTCTCCCAGTGAGGCACAAACAACATTTTGCCCCTTTGTCGTAACCTGGAATTAAAACCCTTCCTCTTGCCTCTTTGCCCCCCCAGGAGGCTGTTCCTCTAAACTGCATCCTTTTCCCCCAAAGGTATCACTTCTGTTATGTTATCAGCCTTTCCAGAAGGTTCATCTCTTATCTGATCTATTGTCCTTGGAAGGAATTTCATTGGGAGCTGCAGTCAACAGTGGGCTCACTTCCCATTTCCTAACCCAGCCTGCCATAATCCATGACCATCTGGAGGGTGCAAGGTCCCTTCCAGCAAAGCCCATCCCTGGTCCAGGAACGGAGCAAGATTTGTCAGGTTCCTTGTTGGGCCAGCAGATTGGGCCAGGTCACACCTGCACCCTGTGTGAACACTGAGAGAGGCACAGCTGGCTTGGGTCCTCTGGGTAATTAACTGCCCTCTGTGTGCAGCTTGGAATGTTGCAATTATTAAGATCTTGGAGAGTGACCTCCCACAAGAGTAAACCTCCGAACCTTCCTCGGGACCACTTCCTGGCACCATTCATACAATCAACATTGCTGGAAGCCAAGGCTAAGAAGGGTGGGATTTTTTTTTTATAAAGTTGTATTTATTTACCCTCTGCACACTTTGGTTGCACGGAGTGATTTTTGGTGAGTTGAGGAAAACGCTAGTAAATTCCCAGATTTCCCACCGTGCTATCTCCTGCAGATGGATAGCATTCTATCCCCTCTGTATAAGGAGGTTTCTGTGGCGTCAGGCCATGGATGTGGCCTCCAAGGACAATGTGCAGTTTTTGGGATCATTGTAACCAGAAAGACGATACTGACAGCTAGAAGAGGCCAGTGATACTACCAGGCACAGCGCTCTACATGGGACGACCCAAGGGCAAAGAATGAGCCCATCCCAAGTGTCATTACAGCCCAGGCTGAGAAACAACAAGTCTGTTGTCCCTCCTCCAAAATGAGCCTCTCAGTCTGGGGATTGCTGCCTGCCTCACACACACACACACACACACACACAGTCAACACCAGACCCTCCAGGGAAGAGCTCCCTACTCACTGCTAGTACGTGGTACAAGCTCAGGCCGAGACCCAGAGGGGGAAATAGCCAGCAGTTTTTGCCTAGCAATTCATTGGATTACCATCTAAGCCAGACCTGGTGGCAAGCCTAAGGCCCAGCTGCTCGAGAGGCTAAGGAAAACCGCTTGAACCCATGAGCCTGAAACCAGCCTGGAAACATAGCTAGACCCTGTCCCTCACAAACAAAAACAAAACAAAACTAATGAATCGAATTGCTTGAACAATATTTTGAAGCAAGGGGATTTAACTTCACTTAATTTTTTGTTTGTTTGTTTTTATGAGAGGGTTTCTCTGTATTGTTTTGGGGGCTGTCGGTCCAGCCCGGCCTCGAATTCACAGAGATCCGCCTGCCTCTGCCTCCCAAGTGCTGGGATTAAAGGCGTGCGCCACGACCGACCGGCAACTTCACTTATTTTTAAGAGAGGTAAAGCCTGCTTATATTTCAAGGGAAATTATAAGTGTAACAACAGTATGTAAATCCAATGAGGCTAGAGACAGGGGTGGATTCAGGCCTTGCTGGTCTCCCTAGGAGAGTCCTGAGGTAGGAGCTCTCCCTAGAGGTTATGAGAACACAGTATGGAGGTCGCCTTGTGAGTTCTTTTAACTCACCAAACCAATTCCTTTCGGTGGGTACAGACCTGGGTTGAAGTTTGGAATGGCTGACCGCAGATCCCTCAGGTGAACCAATCTTCCACACACCGATCTGTCTTCCACTACCCCCAAGAGCCTCCAGTAGCTGCACAACTTGACCCAACATGTACCAATTAAAACCTTGAATTCCACCTTGTGCGCTTGGCCCAAATGCTGTGCTCAAAATCAGTCATCACCCTCTACAGCTTTAAGACTCACCAGAGCTGGGATTCCATCAAAGACCAGGGCCCACGTGGATGCATGCGTCAAACACGCGCACAACGTGGGGTTCTTCCTGTGAGCAGCCACGCCTTCACCCACAAAGGACGACTGCCACAGTCGCCAGCCAGTGTCAGCATAGCCCCTCCCAGGACTGTATCCTGGCATCCTCATGGAGTCTAAAAGTATCTATTGTCTTCACCCAGGGTCTCATTTGGAGTCCCCATGACAACAACTGTCCCACTGACTACCTCTTTCCTCCCCTTCCAGGAGGCTGCGTGTGCTTACGTGTTGCTCGTGACGGCTGTGTACTGGGTGTCCGAGGCGGTGCCTCTTGGAGCGGCGGCCCTTGTTCCTGCCTTCCTCTACCCATTCTTCGGAGTTCTCCGCTCCAGTGAGGTTAGACCACTTATGACCCAACCCTGTGCTCAGATCTGCTGGACCAGTGAAGGGGGTCTTCAGGTGACAGGAGGGAGGCACGTGATGGGAGGGGCCGTGCTTACCCACAGGAAGAGCTCCTGAGCACTGGGCTCCACATCCACTGAGTCAGACACTAGGTTCTTCCCATCCACCCTTCCCCTTCGGCTCCTTCAAAGTGCTCAGAACTTGCTGCTTTGAAGTCTTCCCTGATCAAACACAGCCAATTGTTCCTTACTTTCCAAGTTTTTGGTCTGGGTTTTTCGTTTGTATTTAAGACAAGGGTCTCATTATGTAGCCCTGGCTGACTTGGAACTCATTCCATAGCCCAGTCTGACCTTGAACTCATAGAACCCCATCTGCTTTAAAAAATGAAAAATTTCCTGCAGGATGAGGGCCAGATGAGTACTACACCTCCTCTGTTATCACCTGCCTCCCATAGGGCAGTGGTTCTCAACCTATGGGTCACCAACCCTCTGGAGGTTGAACGGCCTTTCAGAGGGGTATCGCAGCATATCAGATAGATATTTACATGGCGACTCATAACAGGAGCAAAATCACACTTCCAAAGTAGCAATAAAAATAATTTTGTGGCCGGGGGTCACCACAGCATGAGGAACTTTATTAAAGGGTCGCAGCGTCAGAAAGGTTGAGAATCTCTGCTCTAGGTTACCTGATGAAGAAACCCAAAAGCAGAGTTGGCAGGTGCAGGGGGGCAGGGGACGTCAGGACAGGTGACTGAGTCTGCCTAAGAATCAGGCTCGACAGCCTCCAAAACAATACAGAGAAACTCCGTCTCATAAAACAAACAAACAAAAAAAGAATCAGGCTGTACGTCAGAAGTCGGAGTTCGCTCTTCCATAGAGAACCCTCAAGAGATCTAGGAAAGGGGTGTCGGTGTCGATAATTCCAGCCCACACAGCAGGAAAGAGGCTTAGAGAGTAAAACTGACCCCAGTCATACAATAGAAATCGGCAGATTTCAGAGCCTGTACTCTTTTTTTTTTTTTTTAATTTTATTTTCCAGTTTAAATTTAGGGCCTGTACTCTTGCTCACTCTGCCATATGAAGGAAATTCCTAAAATTCCTAAAGCATATGGGCCTTCACAGTGTTATCAATTGCTAGGAACTGTGGGTACCTCTGTCTCTGTGCTATGAGGAAGAATGAAATTGGCCTATGGGCTGCCTTAACCTTGAACAATAGAACATTCTTGAATGTTCCCTTGATGGTTGAACAGCTCTTTCTATGGGATGAACTCTACCGACCAATTTTTGTTAGTTTGCCTTAGATTTCTTTTTCTTTCTTCTGTGAGTAGTTAGCCTAAAGACGGAATCCCCCCAACAGTGAGCAAGTGTCTGTCCCTACAGATGTGTGTAACATGGGTATAAGAAGAGGGCACACACAAAAACCAGTCAGCGAGACAGTGACTCCATCTCCTCCTCCACCCCCGCCCTTCTTTTGAGGGTGGAAGGAGAGATGTGATGGATTTCCATGCATATCTAAAAGAGCAATCGACCTCAAAGACAACTTTTCTCAGGGAAAGAGTGCAAACTTTTTCTGCCCCATTGCTCCTTAAAATTGTGGAACAAGAACTTCATTAGGGAGTGGGGGTGGGGGTGACTGGAGGAGGGTAAGCAGGAATCCTCCAGGTGAGCCCAACAGCCCAATATAATATAGAAGTGTTGCTAGGCAACAGCTATGCAAGTCCCACCCCTTTTCATAGCCAGGAAGGCCAACCTAACAGGGAGACTCTTTGGAGGCAAGAGTCTGAGGAGGGGGTCTTTTAACTTGAAAGGAATGGCCTCCATGTGTGATTAGGTATTGCAGTTACTGGGTGAGTGGAATTAAGAAGATGTATTTTATCATTTGAGGCAAAAAAAAAATCTTAATCCATCTGTGTCTTTAGGTGGTTTTGACAGGTGGTTATATTTAGCAATTGGGCTACAATGAGCAACTTAGTCCAAATATAGTCTGTTCAGCTGACCTTAGCTCAGACAAAGGAAAATGCCAGCAGGGTGAAGGACATGGGGGATGGCTCCTTATGGGCCAGAAGAAGCACCCATTGCGTTCTTTCTAGCTGCACCCTTACACTGTCGTCATGGCTCCCTGAGAAAAGCTAGGCAGCCCCCCTCCACCTCCCCTGGAGCCTCTGAGTCATGCATTCTGTTCCTAGCCCAGCTCCTGCTCGCCTGACCCCTCGCTGAGTCTTGGGCAGCCCTCTCCATTCTGAGTCTTTGAAATCTCTTTATTTTTAAAATCCTCCTACTCAATTACGCTCTGATGAAACGTTTCCGAAGACCTCGCCTGAAGAGTAGTTCCCTTCCCTCTGAGCCAGCTTGATGTTTGTGGGCATAACAAAGATTACTTTCTGCGGACACACATTCTCTAGGACTTGCGGTGTCTGTCTCGTGGCCTGTGTGTGTCCCAGCGCCCTCGGGTCGTGGTTCTTGGTTCCTGTGCTTTTGGGAGCTAAAGAACACGGCCTCCATGTGGAGGAAGGCATGGGAACAGGGTTGGCATGGCCCTGGGACTGTGGCTTTTGTCCCTCATATCATTCACTCTGCATCCTGACTTCTAGATCTCCGCTTCAGGGTGGTACAGTACCCAGAGGTAACGAAAGTAAGTACGTCACCTCCGCCCACTCCAGTCTTATTTCTGGCTCCTGAGTTCCCACCACCTGCGGCTATTTATATAGTTGTCAGAGCTCCGGAGAAAACAGAAGCAATCCAACAGGAGAGTGGGACAGCTTTAGCTGTAGGGACAGACACACGGAATGAGAGGGCTTTGTTATAAGAAGCTGCCTCAGCCATGAGGAGGAGGCATTTCATGACCTGCTGCTACAGCAGGAATCCCAGAGCACAGGGCATGAGCTCTGTGAGTCCAACGGTCAGAGACCCGGGGGAGCTGATGGCATAAATCCCAGCCAAGGAGCAGAAATCAGATGAGAGGTCCCAACTCAAGCAGCGGAGCTGGGGAAAGGGGGCCTCTTCCCCATCTCTTTACTCTATGCCAGGCTCCATGAACGCCATCTCCAGGCCCTGCCTTATTTAATCTTCTATAAGGAGCCGTAGTTTTCTATCTTTGTTCACAGAGGGGCAAATTGAAGTTCAGAAAGGTTAAGTAACTTACCCGTGTTTGCACAGCTAGTAATCAATAGAACCAGGACTTGAGTCCAGGGGCATGTGATTCTTAAACTCTTGACCCTTGGGCCATCTGTACCAAAGGCTTTGGCTGAGTTAATGAATGATGGGCACAGCACAGCAGGCTGCCCAGGGAGCTCTTCCAGAGGTGAGCTGGCCAGAACATCAAAGATCTGGAACCCGAGGCGCCTGTGAGATGAAGAAATGATTTAGAGATGCATTGTTTCTGGCTTCTGGGCCTACCATGGCAGGCTCAATCCAAACTAAACAAAGAACTAGAAGCAGCTCCCACCATGGGTGCCATGTATAAAGGAAAACTCTGGAACAAGTGCCTGTGTGTGGTCCTCGTAGTCCCATTCCAAAAGGTTTGAGCCAAATGATCCCATCAGGGCCACTAGACTAGAGATGGACTTCCGTGCCTTGGCAGGTGATTGAACACCATGGACTCCTTGACTTTAGGAATCTGCCACTCATTTTCTTAAAATAGATCTTCATACATAGCCCCAAGCATTCTCCACTGTACCTGCCTACATTGTTCCCAGGAGCACCCAGCAACTTCCCTCTGCTGGTGCACAGAACTCAGGCCCTGGACTTTGGGTTGGTGTTTACATTCCGCTTTGTTTGTTTGGGCTCCCCTGCGATTGTTACTGGCATTATATCTGTCTTAAAAGTCCTCTCGCCCCTTGCCGCTGTGTTGCTTGTGATGCCGATAGCCTGGGCACAAGAGCAGTGTCACTCCAGCTAGCTCAGATTCACTGTGCTTAGGAGGACTGGTCCACGGTGAGCACCAAAGGACCAGGATGGAGGTCAGGGGTGGTGTGAGATGCATGGTGGCACCATGGGAGGAGCTTGGGTCGGTTTCCTGGGATACCCAGGCACTGAAATTACTTCTGATGGTGTTTACATGTTCTGTCTGTACACAACCCCCCTCCCTCTCCGTCCTCTGCCCTGGCGCTGCAAGCCACCAGGCCAGCCTCACTCAGATTCAAGCTCCTGCCAGGGCAAGAGAGATTGGAGGCAGCCCCCACTGGGATAGCAGCCATGTCTTGCTGGAGTCTGATGTCCTGAACCTGCTTCCCTGCTGGCTTCCAGTCGTTCTGACCCTCTGGATGCCTGCCTGCCTGCCTGCTGTACAAACCCTGGCTTTCTCTGTTTGTTCAGCCCTGGAACCACTCCCCACCTCACTCGCAAGGTCAGAGAGGACTGGCCCTCCTCCTGCACGCAGGCCCTTTGGGGATCTGCACATCAGATGCAGGGCAGCACATCAGGGGGGCCATCTGCCCTGACCCTCAGCCTGCCCGAAACCTCAGCTGAACTAAATCCATATCAGACTGGGTACAGGAAGCTGTAGACCCTGTAGCATTTGAGGTTAAGTTCTCGTTTCTGTGGGAGGAACAGCTTCCTCAGAGCCATTTCCAGACCAGTCTTCATGTCTGGTCCTCACATCCTCCCATTCTGCACTTCACACAGCCCCAAGTCAGAAACTGGAGTTGTGGAGAATAAGATCAAGATCTCCTGCCTTACGGGAGCTAGGCCAGGTTTGGGGTCTCCCTGGATGTCCATCTAGGACTCCTTGCTAAGGTAGAGTGTTATATTTTTATTATTTACTATTTTTTATTTATGTGTATGTACGTATGCCTGGGTGAGTTTGTGTGCTCTGGCATTCACGCAGGTGTCCTTGAGGCTGGAGAGTGTCAGATCCTCTGGAGCTGGAATTACAGGCAGTTGTGAGCCACCTGATATGGGTGCTGGGAACCGAACCCAGGTCCTCTGGAAAAGCAGTCACTGCTCTTTACCACCTAGCCATCTCTCCAGCCCCCAAAATAATGTTTTTTATAAGCA